GATTGGGTTTCTTGTGGTGGAATCTACCCATCTGGATTCAAGTCATCAACTTGGCACGGTGCTTGTATTTTTCTGGGTTTTTCCAGAATTTAACGGCGCTATGCTTTCAGTGGTAGGCAACGTCCCCATCGACAGCAAGGTGTCTGTGATGATTTCGTGAATCTTAAGATCTGTCGGTCGCCTTAGTTCTTCGGAGGTGCTTATCGGGGTAGGGTTTATGCACGTGTGTTTATAGGAATGAGTGTGCGTGTGTGTCGGGGCGTTGTAACATGTTATTCTCCGGGAAAAAAAAAGGTTCAATACAAGTTCAAAGCTACCAGACGTACATGAGCTTCTCGCTCAAATAGCCGCACCCAGGCGGACAGTGGCACCGTACCGGCTGCTATAATCGCTCGCGTGAATCCACTCCGGCCCGCTTGTGCGCACGTTGTTCTTCTTGGGCCTGATGGAGCGACGTGGTTCCGGCCCAAAAGCGGGAACCAGGAGTCGGAGCCTGCTGGCCACAGGTGACGCCAACCGCCTAATTCTATCCTATCCTAGCGCCGATGATGGTGAAGGGCAGGATGCCCTTGGTGAAGAAGCTGAATACGTACAAGGCGGCGTTCCGGTACGCTCCACGTACCTCGGCAGCGCACGCGCGCTTGAGCGCCTTCAGCATCAGCAGGGCACCTGTCACGGCGTGGATGCATGCGCTCGGCTGTCTTGCACTCGCCGTCGCTGTCGTCGTCGTCGTCTGTCCGACTCCCTGAAACCCCGATATAGATTAAACACTCATCGCGACTCGCCGTTTCCGGTCTCCCGTCGCCGATGAAACCGATGTATTGAGCAGGACGTGGTGGCCGTGGCCGTGGCCGGACTCGCTCGCTAGACGCTAGCTCGTGCACAAGCCAGGATCCGAGGTGGTCCTGCTCCGTCGCTGAAGACTCCTCTACTCGTCCCCCTCCTCCTGCAAACCTGCGCCGTACAAGCTCTGCCGTGAGCCGCGCCGAGGCTGCCGGCGTAAGACGCCGCATCCGCCGTCTCTCTCAACTCTCAAGCACTTGAGTTAAGAACGGACAATGGAAGGCAAGGACAAAGGAAAAGATATTCATCTCACAGTTTTGGGCTTGAGCTTCGGCTGCGTCTGCTCCTCTTTGACTCTGCTGGTCTGGCCTCTCTCACCTGTGGTGTGGATGCCGCTTGTCGTGACTATCTTGCTTAATATTGCCAATTGCCAATTGCCAATTGGCACCACTCAAGCAGAAGAACCAGACAAAAAAAAAGTTCACACACTGCCTTTCATTTTTGAAAAGATGTCAAGATCCTTGTCGTGATTTTCTTCCTTAATATTGCTATAATTGGAGGCTTCTAAAGGAGTATCTAGGTTAATCCTTACGAGATGCGGAAGGAAAATAGATACATCACAAGTAATTTTTTCAAAAATAAAAGCAAAAAATATCAGGCTATTAATTTTGTAGACTTTAATCATCGTCGCTAGTAATACACATTCGACCTATTCTAATTTTCTAAAAAAATTACCGGCCCGCCTCAGCCATTATGAAAAATACATAAACTATTTGCTAAAGTTGCATTTAAATTTCCCACATCTGTCATTATGAAATATAAATTTAAAAGGCCTCCTAAAATTGCTTTTAATTATTGAATCATGCCACTATGAAACATATTGCAAACTAACACTAAATGTGCTTTTTAGATTACACATATCAAAATAAACAATGTAAATACACTAATATTGTGTCTTACTTATGCACCCTATGCAATTAATTAAAAATCCACCAAATGTTTGTCATGCTAATATAATCTATTATAAACAATAATCCAATAACCATAAAAATATATATATATATATATATATATATAGAGAGAGAGAGAGAGAGAGAGAGAGATTACACATTCTACCATTGTAAAATCAAAAGTAAACATTAACGTTGTGTCACCATGTAGACAAAGTAAACATGCCATTTTAATAGATTATCAATTATGAAAAAAAAATGTTCTCTTAACAAAGAACATACCAACGACACAGACACTTCACTTTAAATTATATTAATATTTCATGACAATACATTTGTAAGTTTGAAAAGTTTATACATTTTAAATGAGAATTATCACTAATAAATACTATTAATTTATTTTTATGCCATCTATGTTGTTATAATATAAAAATACTTTTTCTTGAATACGCAAAAGTTTTGCGCATCTTTGTATTAAGATCGAGAAAGAGTTTTGATTACAACGACGAGCCGCCGGGGCTGCGCACTAGGGCGAGGCAAAGTATATGAATTGAGCGCCCCTCCCCTAGCCGAGAATTCACCATGCCATAATACAAAAATACTACACATACAATTCTTAGACGTAGCAAAAAAAATTCAACATCTTTAGGGTCGTGGTGTAGGCTAAAACAACTATTCGTCTGTATAGTGAAAACCCCATTTTGATATTTGATAGAAGAATTTGGTAAATTTGTTGTAAAGCATGTGTCCTTTTTAAAGATCTTGTAGGATTTACCTTAACTATGAGCTAGGCAATATATGGACCAAGTTTGCCAATTTTTTGAGATGATTTGTAGCAGCTTCGGATTTTTAAAGAAAGTATCTCATAATCTGTAAAAATAGGATCATCCGTTTTTCATACCAGGGGACCCAATTTTGGTGACTTGTGATTTTTGGGGAGATATTCTAGTGATTTATTGATCTTGTTGTTGTGAAGCTCTGGTTCAAATTTCACAATTTTGGAGTTTGTTTGAACAGGTTTTGACTATTTCTCCAAAAATCACTCGGGATGAAATATGCGTACCAATGCATCAAGTTTGCATAGGGGGGATCCAGTTTGCACTATGAAAATAGGGTGGTCCAGTTTGCATACCAGGGGATCCGGTTTTTCAATGTATTATGGTGGTTCTCCCTATTCTTTGTTCATCTTGCTTCCTCACCTTTCTAGTCCCGTTCTGTCCTAAGGTTAATAGGTATGTTGTTACTACATGATCTTGACATGAGCTAGAAGAGAGGAGTGTTCGGTAGGAGGCTTCAGTGGTACAAAACTATGCTGTTACTTGAATTATTGAGCTGTCAAGATTGTGCTACAGTTAAATTAAGCTTGTGAAACCTATCGGTACAAATCGTCGGCTCGTTACACAAAACGACATTGATAAGTCATTATTAGCACCGGTTTGCAATCGTCAGGTGATAAATTTGTGCTAACTTTTACCATAACTTAGCTAGGGTGATAAAGGATTTAGAACTGGCGTGACAATATGCATGTAGTAGTGAGGCAACTACATAGAGTGTAATGATGTTGCAGGCGCGACAACAATAATCTGGAGGCAGGAGAGCTGGCGCGCACGCTCACACATCATGGATGCAAATCTACCTAGGAGAGTATGTAGGCCAGGTTGCATGCATGTATGGGGCCAGGTTTTATTAGGCACTGTTTGCTAGATGAAGCTTCACAAGTTTCACAGAGAGAACGCACTGCAGGTGCTGTTTTCGGACGATTTCGACCCAGTAGCCATGAACTTACATTTGGCCGGGTTTTGACGCCGAGGATATGTAGGCCGTGTGCTTAGCCGGTTTGTCGTGGATTATTGCTGTGTAATCACAACCACATGTGTTGTTCGGTCGTTGGTCTCGGTAATCACTGGATTAACTGGATTACCATGGCTATCTTAGGATGTAACAAGCTCTACTTCTGTTTAATGAAAAACGTGCCACGGCAGGATCGCCAAAAAAAAAAACTGTTTTGTGTCAAACCTGTGTTCTACAAAATATGAAAGCAAATAGCACTTCATAGATGAAGCTCCTAAAAACCTACTTTCATATGGGAATAGGGTGGCATGAAGATGAAAATAGTAGTTTGTCCCAGCTTCATCTTGCACTTGTGGGTCCAGCTTGTTTGGATGCCAGATTTGCCCCACGGGAAGGACGTCGGGCCAGGGTGAACGGTGCACGTGTCGCCACCAAGGCGCTGATGACCACGACCGTCGGGGAGTTGGCTGGGCCTCCGAGGTGCAGGCGACTATGGCCACCGGGGTCGCCGGCTTGGCCACCGAGAGACGCGAGTGCAGGGCACCACCGAGGCTCGTGAGCGGTAGGCTGTTGAGATGAAATTCGAGGAAGAAAGGTGAGGGAAGAAAGAGACACGGTAGGAAGGAGATGAGGATAACATAGAGAACGGGAAAAAATCTAAGAGCATTATGGTTGGGTTTTTTTTGTGTATCATCGCTACTGGAAACTCGATTAGCCCTGTGACGAATTTTTTTGTGCATACGAAACTATTTTGTCAAACATGTTATCAAAACAGTTTTAGCTTTACCGATATAGTTGTTCAGTGAGCTAAAGTAGAAAAAAAATCATTTCATTAGTAAAGCTCTATATCAAACGAGACCTTATTATTATTAGCTCTGATTTGTCATGTACCTATTGATGGAGAGTGAAGGACATGAAGGGTGGCGCCACGCTCGTCAGTCGACGTGCCACCTTGCTGCAGCAGGTAGCACGCGTAATCTGATCCACAGCGTGTGGGTGTGGCTCCTCGTCCTCCTGCTCGCATGCATCCTCGTCCTCATATCGACAAAGCTAGCTAGGTGGGGTATAGTACAGCTTGCTAGATCGCTCTAGAATATTCATGTATGCACTGCAGTGGGGCCGGGAGTGATGACGTGTCGCATATGCATGCATTGCAGCCTGCTGCTTGCCTGCCTTGTAGTTCTTGGACGCTAGCGAGCTAAGCGCGATCACTGGAGTGATTGAGTGCTACATAGCAGGTAACAACAAGCAGGTCGGTGTCTTCTAGAGCCGCGGCCGGGAAGGATCTAGAGCATGCACGCATATATATATATCCATCGACGATCTGCAACGGCAACTATATATATAAGGGAACTGCTACTATAACCGCGGCAGCTTGCATTGTTCATCATCAGCTACTAGCATATATCATCATATCCCCCGATTCAGATTCCGATCTCAGCAGCTCGATCGATCACTTACAATACTATAGCACCTATGGCTGCTGCTTTCTCCTCCACCTCCGTCGCTGCGCCGGTAAGTACTTCCACGGCGAGCAGCTTCCTCGTCGGGGGTAGTAACAAGAAGCTCACTATCAGCATCAGGAAGAAGAAGCAGCAGCAGGTGGTGAACAAGTACCAGCCGCAGGGCGGCAGGGGGCTCATCGTCAGAGCCATGGCGGTGAACAAGGAGGTGGACGAGACGAAGCAGACGGAGCAGGACAGGTGGAGGGGCCTGACCTACGACACGTCGGACGACCAGCAGGACATCACCAGGGGGGAGGGCCGCGTGGACCCGCTGTTCCAGGCGCCCATGGGGGACGGCACCCACGTCGCCGTGCTCAGCTCCTACGACTACATCAGCCAGGGACTCAGGCAGTACAGCTTCGACAACACCATGGATGGCTACTACATCGCGCCCGCATTCATGGACAAGCTCGTCGTCCACATTGCCAAGAACTTCATGACCCTGCCAAACATCAAGGTATGCATGCATGTAACCCTATACCAGCATGCATACTTCAGTGGTTCAGTAGTCATTTTGTTCGCTTAATTCAAAAACACTAGGCACTTCGTCCTCAAGCTTTCCTTTCGATTGAAGAAAAAATGGATTACGTCCATGTGGTCTAGGGCCCAGTAGAAAAGTCAGAGTCTGGCCAAAGTAGTTTTTAAAAAATATATGAAATTCAAACAAATATATATCGAGCAATCAATTATGGAGAAATTTCACATTTTCTCTCGGGTTGTCATTTTTCTACTAGCTTTTGGAGTTTCCAAAAGTCAAACAACTCACATAAGCCTAAAGCACACAAGCTAGTGAGCTTCTGACTTTTGGCTTTTTGGAGGTTTTTTGTTCTTTTGAAATGTCCAAAAGCTCTCATAGAACCCCAAACAATTAGGCCGTAAGCTAGCTATTAAGCGAATTTCTACAAATAATCTGACCAAATCTTTTTCTAGATCGATCACTTCTTTAATTAGGTACATCACTTACAAAGTCAAAATAAATATATGAGTAATTAACTAACTGCTAGCTTTTGATGCTTCTGGACAATCATCAGGTGCCTCTGATCCTGGGCATCTGGGGAGGCAAGGGCCAAGGGAAGTCTTTCCAATGTGAGCTTGTCTTCGCCAAGATGGGCATCAAGTAAGCTACATGCTAGCCAACTAATTCTGTCATGTATATTAGTATAAGTACTTGACTATATACAGTATACTGAATAAATATATATATACTGTCCCACACAGCCCCATCGTGATGAGCGCCGGCGAGCTGGAGAGCGGCAACGCCGGCGAGCCGGCGAAGCTGATCCGTCAGCGCTACCGTGAGGCGGCGGACATGATAAAGAAGGGCAAGATGTGCGTGCTGTTCATCAACGACCTGGACGCCGGCGCGGGCCGGATGGGCGGCACGACGCAGTACACGGTGAACAACCAGATGGTGAACGCGACGCTGATGAACATCGCCGACAACCCCACCAACGTGCAGCTCCCGGGGATGTACAAGAAGGAGGACAACCCCCGGGTGCCCATCATCGTCACCGGCAACGACTTCTCCACGCTGTACGCGCCGCTCATCCGCGACGGCCGCATGGAGAAGTTCTACTGGGCGCCCACCCGCGAGGACCGCGTCGGCGTCTGCAAGGGCATCTTCCGCACCGACGGCGTCCCCGACGAGCACGTCGTCCAGCTCGTCGACGCCTTCCCGGGCCAGTCCATCGACTTCTTCGGCGCCCTCCGCGCCAGGGTATACGACGACGAGGTGCGACGGTGGGTGGCCGAGACAGGCGTCGAGAACATCGCCCGGAGGCTCGTCAACTCCAAGGAGGGCCCGCCGACGTTCGAGCAGCCGAGGATGACGCTGGATAAGCTCATGGAGTACGGCCGCATGCTGGTGGAGGAGCAGGAGAACGTCAAGCGCGTGCAGCTGGCCGACAAGTACCTCACCGAGGCGGCCCTCGGCGACGCCAACGACGACGCCATCACCAGGGGCGACTTGTACGGCAAGGCGGCGCAGCAGGTCCGCGTGCCCTTGCCGGAGGGGTGCACTGACCCCAAGGCCGGCAACTTTGACCCTGCCGCCAGAAGCGACGACGGCAGCTGCGTCTACAACTGATCCAATCCAACTGATGCAAGATGGATATCGTCGTCGATCCATTTCCAATAGCAGCTACCTAGCCTGCAACATTTTCGTTTCCTACTTGCAATTGCAACAAGAGTGTCAAAACCTGCTTGAAACTACTTATTAGGTATGCTAGCTGATTATTTACACGATAATCTCTCTCATGTAACTAATTATTACTCAATGCTGCAAAGGAAATTAGTATTGAGTACTCCTATAGAAAACAACAAATTATTAGCACGGCTTTTAATCTAGATTCTCAGTGTGCTAATCAAGAAGCCATGCCTAATACAGGTTGCATTTGCTGACTGCAAATTGTTGACACAAGTGGTGTACTACTTGTTATCACTATCCATCAACCCGTGCTCACACGGGCTAACATTGACACACTTAAGAAATAGAACCCTATTTATTTAATATATATTAATTAATAAAAATTACTTCATACATTTAACTTTTATTTGAATCTAGATTTACAAAAACGTGCAGAATTGTCATTAGCATAACTGAGAGAGATCGTTGTGTGCCACAGGTAACAATGTAACATTGACCTGATAATAATATAACATTAATTTGATTCTATGGTTGTGTGTTTTCTTTTTCTTCCTTTCTTTAATGCTCCAGTATGGCTGACTTTGTCTAATATATGGGTGTGTTGGATGTCTCCCTTTACAAATTAAACTGTGTGGATATATAATAAATATAAATAAGTCCTCTAACCCGGATAAAGTCTTAGGAGATGTAAGCATTAGTCATTGTTTAATATCTCAAAATAATAAAAAAAACTTATATTAAATTACACATTTTACACTTTATTCATTTTCTACACATTAGACACAATATATACTTTGTACTCTCTATCTAGTTGTGATAAGCATAAGTTTAGTCACCATATCTATAATTTGTTCCTTTTCATAGCATCTCTATTTTTTTAATACACATTTGTTTGAAACATTAGATTAAACTATGGTGGATGTTGTTGCAGCTCATATCTTATGACACTATGAATCTAAGTGTTCATTTTTAATTATAATCTTATTAATTGCTACTTATTTTATATTCTCAAGATAAATCAAAACTCTTGTGCTTATTGTATATTTTATTAACTCTCGTTTGTAGTTTTTGAAATAAGGCCATAAACTACACTATAAAGGATTACGATGGCATGAAAAACATTTAAAACCGCGCTACGTCAATTAAGGTCAATGGTAGAGCTTGATCTGAGATCATGGATGACGTAGAGGTGTTAACCTGGAGAGGACATTAATATCCAAGTCTTATAATGACTGTTTACTTTAAACGAATCCCAAATACCAGTAAGATATAACTATACGTGGTATGCTCTAGCCTCCCACTTCTCAAAGTGTTTGAATTATTTCAAGAAACTATATGTGCAATAATGCTTATATAATCAATATAGACACACTACTACAGAATGGACTTGTTGTCCCGGGCGGTAACAGCCTTTAGTCCCGGTTACCGCGCCGGGACAACGATCCCGGGACTAAAGGTGGAACCTTCAGTCCCGGGTCATCGAGCCAGGATTAAAGAGGGACACCAAGTCCCGGTTGGTAACACCAACGGGACTAAAGGCCTCCAAATTGAGCGAACTGGCGCAGATTTTTAGTCCCGGTTGGGGTTACCAACCGGGACTAATGAGTTCATTTTTAGTCCCGGTTGGTAACCCCAACCGGGACTAAAGGTTCCTTTTTTTTTTTTTTTTTTTTACTTTGTTTTCAGTTCAGTTACACGTATTTGTTTAATATATAATATATTTTTATGTACGTATTCTACGTTGCTAATATAAATACACGCATGCATATAATTACATCTAATTCTCATCTTGAGCATTATTATATTCGAATAAAGTATGAAACTATATATATTATAGATATATATATATATATATGTATATATACAACACTTTCATAATCTTGTTCTCGAAAATAACGATATCAATAAACATTTAATTTACATCATTTATTCCTTAAGATCAAAGTAGAACTCGCCGTTGGGATTTAGCACTTTTCTCTAAAAGATATCCTGCTATTGACTCTTGAACTGCTTTCAGATGGTCTTTTTGCATGACCCTTCGTTTCAACCATTCAGTCTTGCATTTGAAATAAAAGGAAAAGTATTAATACACATATATGTATATATATTCATTTAAAAATAAATAAAAATTGATATATACGTACTCGAGGACATCTTCAGAGTTCTTCTTATGTGCGCAGTGATAAAATTCACAAACGTAGTATCCACACAAGTTATTACCGTTCTCCGCCAAAAACACCACTTTATTTGAGAAGAAGATTATTCTCATCATCTCACACGTAAATTGAAGTACGATATAGTAATTAAACACGTGGGGAAGTGTATATAGTACAACTTCTCGGTATTTCAACTACATTAAGTGGTGCCTTGCAATCCTTGCGATGTTGCCGAATAAACTCTTTCCAAACCCCGTATGCGACCAATAATGTACGATCGTTAATAAATTATGGCAAAGTCTATTCAATAATAGTTGTGCGCGAGAGATCGAAATTACCCCTGATAATGTCTATCATATCTTGGTATAGTGCCCGTTCTTTTCTCAACGAGTCAAAGATTAGTAACCGACTTGAGTTTAACTCAATGACAATGAGTATCCAAAGAAAACTGCATTGGTTTATACACACACGTACATGCATATAAGTTGTATTGATATTACATAAAATGTGTAGACTACATTATTATTAACACTTACTCAAAGTTGTAAGGGAAAAGTATTGTTGTCTTGTCGTCTTTGCTTCATGAAGAACATCATGATATTCTCCCATGTGCTCCAGATACCCATCGCTCCTTGATAATAATACCGGTTTTGAATACGATATAAGGATCAATGAAGCCAACACTTTGGTGTCTTGTATTCTTTGGAGCTCGACATCCGGAATCAGATATAAATATAAGTTACATGTGAGGATAATTATATACACGCACGCATGGAAGTGAGTTTATTAAATAAAAGTAAGAATCACTTACAAACAAAAGGAGCTAATGATTGATTTGTCCAGAGCGTCCAAGTGGAATAGTTGATGCAATTCTTCGAAACTAATATGTAAGATGTCATCGCCACGGAAGTAATGATGGTCTCTAAATCTGACAAAGATCCACTTTGCTCACCCCCCGCCACACGCTTTGCATGTACCACTTGTTGAGCAAGTACATTTATGTACCCAATTCATTCGAGAGCATGGTTGTACAGACTTTTGCCATATTTATAAGTCTTCCGGTATCAACTTCCGTGTTCGGATTGGAGCTTTGCCCATCAATTGATCCAAGGTTAAACCAAGATCTTTAAAAAAGCATTAAGGGCTTGAACCGACACTTCTCCGAGTTGTCCGGTCGATAGACTTCTATGTTGGAACCATATTCATTAGCAACAACAAGATTTTGCATTGGTTACTTCATTGTCCGAGCTGTGGGACATCCTTCCCCGATGCTCTTTTCCTTTTCTTATCTGCATCATGTGACTTTTGACGGAGCGATCATAGTCCCGATAGTGGCGAAGGCTTACGAAGTTCAATCATCTTTTTCTTGTGAGCATCGACCTTACCTTTCAAAGACATCTCGTGGTATGTAAAAGTACGGCTTCTCCTCCTAAGCTTTGCTTGACTCTTGTTTTGATATCTATAAAAAATCTTTTACTTTTTTGTCTTCTTCAATTGCTATTTGCTCATCGGTCTTTTCGGAAGTATTTCTTAAGAAATAACTCTTTTTCTCGGGGTCTTCTTTGCCACGGACCTTAGACGTCTTTGTAGTGCGTCATTTGGGAGGGGTGGGGCGGTGTTGGAGATCGGCGTGGAGGCGATGAGGCCGGTGTTGGTGGAGACCGGCGTGGAGATGTTGGAGATCGTTGTGGAGGCGGTGGGGCGGTGTAGGAGTTGAAGATCGTTGTGGAGGCGATGGGGCGGTGTGTAGGAGTTGGCGATCGCCGTGGGGGATGAAGTCGTCTACGCCCCCATGACGCCTGTGATGAGATGGGGAATGAATGATTAGGCTAGGTGGGAGAGACCCTGCTATAAAAACAATTTGTGTGTCAATTATTTTTGAAGCCAATAGAAAATTAATGGAAAATAATATTTCATTCACTTTCATTCGTACCTAGGGTGAGCTAGGGGAAGCGGTGGCGCCCCAGGAATGATGATGAAGCGTTTTGCGCCATTGAATAAATGTCTTCTCTGCTTTCTCCTAGTGTCTTCTCCCCATCACCGCCTTCAATGTCAAGAGGAACATTGCTTTGTAACCTTTGAGCACTCTATCGACCGAGACGCTAGCATATCCAAAGTTGAATAAGCGACCCATGGATTCTTGGTGTCTTCGTTCGGTCTATTAGAGATACAACCCCGACAGCCACCATGATTGATGCATTACCATCTAGAATGTGCAGCTCACATTTTGTTAGAGGCTCGGTAATGTCATCAACAGGGAAGCGCAACCCAGCGTCGTCTTGAATAATCGGCAGCTCCGTAGAAAGCACAATTGCTTTTCATCCGACCAACGGGGCTAATGGTGACTCCGGCGTTGATTGCGATTGCATTTGACTCATTGCTAGCTGCACTTGCCTCTTGATCTCCTCCTGCGCATTCTTGCCTCAAGAGATTTTTCTCGTTCACGTGATTCAAGCAATGCTTGTCGTGACTCATCAACAAATTGCTCCAATGCACGAATTCGCTCGCCTCCTCATCCTTCTTTCTCTCAAGGCGGCTTCAGAGGTATCCTTGTTCGCTAGGAATGCGTGTAGCCACGGAACCGCCCCATAGCCTCTTGTTCGACCACCGTGTTCGGGATTCTCTAGGGCATATGTCAATTCATCCTTCTCTCTGTTGGGCTTGAAAACACCACTATCGCCTTCTTCCCTAGCACGAGCTAGTCTCTCGTGTTGCTCTCTCAATTTTTGGCCGAAAATTAGCTTGCCGATTATGCGGGTCTAGGCTTCCCCA